GCCCTGTCAGTTCCAGTGCGCATGTGCATGCTGGCCATCTGAGTTTGGCCTCCTTTTAAGGCCATTTCTGGGGAGGGTCGCACGCGCATGTGCGCTGCATTGCACGCATAGCATTATGGTGTGGGCACAACCATGCCCGAACCCCTTGCACTCCCCCCAATTTTGGCACACAATCCAAAAAAGGTTAGCCATCACTGAACTAGGCAATATACACAATGCACTGACAGAAAGTTATCCTTAGCTATTTGTATTTCCCATCCCTGTCTAACAATAGTATCTGACTTCATACTTAATATGGGTGTAATCTAAATTCTCCAGATTCTTAATAGGCTGCTTGGCAAAAGGTTCATAGGTATAACTCGGCTAGGTTAGTTATGTTATATATAACTTATATAAGAAAAGAATGAAACAATCTACACACTTGTGAAAGTTTCTATATAGGTATGTGTGTGTTTACTGTATGTATATATAAATATATATAGATTTATGCTTCAGGATTTAAAATTCTACACTTTTTGATCCATTTAGTATAACCTAGCACATAGAACAGAAGAAATAAAATATTGCTTAGTGCCTATTTTCTAATGCACATGTTTATCTTATTATGACTTCATCTGTATCCAAGTATGAAGGGCTTGACACCTAACTTGTAAAGCAATAATCTGTTTGTGATTTGAGTTTCCTTATTCTTGTAAAGTAGATATACCTTGCATTTGGGAAGGGGGGGGAGTTCTTTCACTTTAGGAATGTTGCTAACATGTGTTATGTCTGACTGACCAGATTCTGCAGACCCTTAAATCTTAAACCAGGGGTGGGCTGCTGGGGGTTCACAGGGGTTTGGGAGAACCTCTATGGGAGGGCGAAGAACAGGCCTACTGTAAGTTTGGGAAGGCCAGAAACAGGCCCATTTCTTGCCTCCAGAGGACCTCCAAAGCCTGGGGAGGCCATTTGTGCCCTCCAGAGGCTCAAGGAAAGTCTCCAGAACCCAGGGAGGACAAAAAAACGCCCCGCCCCCCCCCCCCCCGCCATGGTGCAGGAGGCCGACTAGTGCACACCCACCATGGCCACTCTTACCCAGCAACTGGGCAGAGAACTCCTTGCTAAAAATTTTGAAGCCCACCCCTGCCTTAAACTAATGGGGAGGCAGAGTATTGGGTTTGTGGTCTTGACTAAGTGGAGAAAGGAACCAGGAACCACATTGAACCTTTATGTAAACGTTGAAAAAGGAGAGACATTTGGGGTTCATGAGTGGAAGCTCATTTTCTCAACCTGGGTCAGACCAAGCTCTTAGGAGCTTTACCTGGCCCAAGAAAAAAGAACATTTTTTCAACAAATAGGGTGGGAATCTTTTCCTTTGATTCATCGTTACCAGGAATTGATCCTATCTTATCCAGGAATTAGGTAATTGAAAGTGAGTGAATGACAAGAGCAGAAAGGAATATCACATTTGGATTTGAATCATTCTCTTGCTTAGAGATGATTTCTTGCATTGGGAGGAGCTGCATGGCAGAGCTGAAAGAAACGCCTAAATTTGAAAACACAGATATAGAGGGGAGGGATGCTTTAAGAATACCATCAGTCAAAATAATAAAATGCTCCTTGCATTCACCTTCTAATTATATTCTTGAGAAAGAAAAATAAACAGTTAATCCAGTTTTCTAGGATCAGCAAGATTGATAGGCCTCAGACCTCCTGTAGGCTATAATGAGCTGATATAAACTGGGGAGACAAGGTGAAAAATTAAGTTCTTGTCTGATCCCATTAGGTAGAATAGTATATTTCTCTTTCGTTCACATTCACACACAGACACCCCTTAGTGCAAAACCTTGAAGGCCTAATGTTTTTATTTCCTGCTGCTGCCTCCTGACTGGCAGTATTCTGAATTGTGTATTCCTGAAAGTGTGAGTCAAATTGAATTCATCTCTTAGCTAGGATTTCCAACCCCCTCCAGACTTAATTTAATTAAATCAAGATAAATATATTTCTTTCACAAACACAAAACATATTTAAGCCGGACAAGATTAATTTATCAGCTGAGCCCAAATGGTAACATGCCGGGTTTAAACAGTATGGAAACTTATGCATTCGTATTTTTTTTACAAAGTACAAAAGGAAAAGTGGGCTGATGAAGAAAAATTAGATGCTTCTTACGCAGCATGCTGTTTCCCTGGTGATCTCTCCTGAGGTAATGGATCTTCTGAGAAGGATGGAAAGAGATTTAGACCAAGAACACGTGGATAGAATTTTGGCGGGAAAAACAAAAACAATAACAATAAAAGAAGTCTTAAAATTGGGAAAACAAGAAAGGGAAAACAAGAAAGGGAAAGAAAGGGTGTGTTTATAAAAGAAGCCCAATTAGCACTCTTTTCTATAGTTCTCCATTTTGATATAGTAAAAATGTAGCATTTCCTTCTTGTGGGTCAATAGATATCAAGCATAGGAGAGAGCAATTGACAAGCCAGTTGTGGGGGAGGGGCAGCCCAAGCTGCTGCTCTTGGAAGCTGGAGTGGGGCTTCTCAGGGATGAGCAGGGATGGAAGCCTTCCTATTTCAAATGCCTTATGTTTGCTTGCCATATAGTTTAGTAAGAGCATGCAGTTTTAGCAAGCAGAAGACTGCTTCAATTGAATTTTATAGTATTTTATATTAAAAATGTGTATTGATCATTCAGAGGTTTCTTTTTACTTGGGAAGCAATGCAAAAGTGGTGGTAAAAGTGGTGGAATGTAATTATTTCCCTCCCTTATTGCGTCTGCTGATAGTCACGCAGCAGCCGTGTTTTGGATGACTTGGTCCCTACTAGGAGGAATTAATATGGAAGTTCACCTAAAGCGTTGCTGTGAGGAATGTTCTGTGCATTTGGCAGGCAAAAACTGTTTGTATTTGCTCGGTATTGGAGTTCAGCCTTATAGGAGAGTCAATGGAGGTGGTTGCAAGCTGATTTGGGAAGCGTTTGAGCCCATAGAACCTGAAGAAGTGATAGCCCCCCCCACCCTCAACTGCTAGTTCAGCCCCTTGTGTTTTAGATTGTGCCCTTGCTAATTAAGTTCATGTAGGAGAAGACATATGGGTGGATCTGGGTAGTAGTTAACCCTTTGAAAGAGGAAGCCCTTTGAATGATGATATGGACGTCCTATCCCAATGTCTAGAGGCTGTTGGGGACCAGATGGGAATCCAACTCAATCCTAGCAAGACAGAGTGGCTGTAGGTATTTGGACCCTTTGAAGACAAGATAAATATATAAAATATATAAATAATAAAATATATAATTATATATAATAATATAATAATATAAAATATATAAATAATAAAATATATAATTATATATAATAATATAATAATATAAAATATATAAATAATAAAATATATAAAATATACTTATAAATAAATAAATAATAAATAAAATAATTTATTTAGCAAATGTGGTTCTACAGTGGTTAGGGTGCAGTACTGCAGGCCACTTCAGCTGACTGTGATCTGCAGTTCAGCGGTTCAAATCTCACCGGCTCAAGGTTGACTCAGCCTTCCAGCCTTCCGAGGTGGGTGAAATGAGGACCCAGATTGTGGGGGCAAGTTGCTGACTCAATTTGCTAAAAAAAATTGTAAACCGCTTAGAGAGGGCTGAAAGCCCTATGAAGCGGTATATAAGTCTAATTAATAAATAAAATAAATAAATAAATACATTTTTCTATCTTTAGTTTGGATAGAGTTGCACTACTCAGAGCAATCTGGGGTCCTCCTAGACTTGTGACCCCTGCTCAAAAAACAGGTAGCAGCTTTGGTTAGGAGACCTTTTGCACACATGTTGGGTGGTACAACAGCTGTCCCCATTCTTAGACTGAAAGGTCCCTCTCACAGTAATTCATGCCCTTGTAACTTCTTGTTTAGACTACTGTAACATGGTCTTCATGGGACTGCTCCTGAAGAGCATTTAGAAACTTCAACTGGAACAGAATGCCGCTATGTGGGTAATAAATGGTGCCAGATATACAGCACCATTTTAGAAACTTTTAGAAACAAAAAACCAACAACTTTTTCATCCTCTGCTGCAAATGCTGAGATTTTCCCAAGCTTGCTAATATCCTCACTCTGCTAAGTGAATGCATTTGGTGATATAAATAAAACATTCACTTATGATCTCCCAAAAAAAAGAATAATTAAGATGATTATTTATCATGATAAATTATTGGTGAAATTCTTGAGTTTCATAAGCAGCTTCATGCATCCTATGCATAATTTTTTTTAATACAAACACATAAGGTGTCTTTGAAACTGTGTTTTCTTTGATCTTGGAGTACCAAGTCTTCTCTTACCTGATAAGAAATCAAAGTACCATTCTGAGTTATTCCCAGATATATCAAAAATGGCATATATGTTAGAACAGGAAATGAAAATGGTTGCTTTATTTCTTCATTAAAATGTGGGAGTGAAACTAATTTTCTGTTGTGGTTTTCAAATTAATGAAAATAATTCTTCATTAATATAGGAATGTCTTGTCAAAATAATTTTCTAAATTAATTTTCAGTTTTAAGGTTATGACTCTACATATTTATCTAGAATAAACCAAAGGCAAATATTAATTAGGAAAGGCATTGGAATGCAGATAAATCTTTAGGATATTCTTAAAGACCTCTAGTTAGATGGGTGGTGGTTTGACAGATTTCAAGTAGAAAAAGGCTTCTCGGTTTTCTCACACTTTTCAAAGGCAAATAAATTAGAAGAATCTCTGCTGCAAAATTTAAACAGTTTAGGCAGAAGAACATTGACCTCCATCTATGTATTTAAGACACTAAGGTTCAAATCGATTCTCAATTTTTCAGTTTCGTTTGGAAATATGCAATCTGTAAACAATATAGCTGCAACAGTGTATGTGTCATACAATCTGAGCATCTGATTCTTCCATCTGACTCTTACGTTAGCTACATTACTTGATTTCCTCATTATCAAAACAAGCCAGCACTATTTTCAGAGGGCAGAGCAGATGGAATCATTCTGTACTCACCCCCTGCTATTGCAAATGTAGTGTCTGGGCATGGTTTCCTGCTGCAGGTTTAAAATACTTTTTCCCCCTCCTTATATTGCTTTGAGCAATCCTGTCCATTTTGGCTGGTGTACTTTTCTTCATTACAGGTTAACTCCAGAGCAGGAATTCCCCTCAACTGAGTCAACGGTTGCAATGATCTCTAATGTCTTTTAGAACTACCTCCCTTACATCAAAGACATTCCAGAGTCCACCAATAGCTACTCTGACAACTCGGGATAAGTGAAGCATATAAACCAACAAATCCATGCAAAGCTTTCTGAGTGACGCATCAGCCCAGTACCCAAAGAAGCAAAATATGAATAGTATATAAAATAGAATACAAAAACTGTGAACCCACTACACAGAGCAAGCAGACTGAAGATTAGCAGAGACCCCAGAAATACTAATGGGTGGCCCAAATACAGTTTGTATAAAATTCTAGTACCCTAGGAGGGGGCTTCTCGCTATGTGCCATTGTATCCCTTCCTACATTGAGAGGCTCTTGTACTAGTATGCAGAAAAAATAGGTGAAGAGATGCTATCTATGGAATGGTCAGATAAGAGACAGCAGAGTTTGCAGCTGGATAGTGGGCAGCATAAGAGGCTCATCAGTGACTAATTTATTGGGCTGTAAAGGAAATAACAGGAGAATTGTACTTTAGACTTTCAAAATTCTGTTAATGTAGCTTTGCAACAGACTAATTTTTTGCTTAGCTGGATGTGTTCCCTCTCTGGTCTATCTGGTAAGACTGACAGCTTTTCTCGTGGTCACTCATACCATGGTCACTTCCTGGGACAACTGCGGTAATGTGTTCTACATCAGGCTGTCCTTGAAGAACATCTAGCAACTTCAGTTGGTGCAAAATATGACAGTGTGGACAATTAAAGTGTGCTCCTAGAATGGCACATATTGTGACTCTGCTCCGTGAGTTCTATTGATTGCCAGTTTGATTACACATCTAATTCAAGGTGTTGGTTTTGATTTTTAAAGCCCTTCATGGCATGGGATCAGGTTTTGACAGTCGACCTCTTTCTGATCGCGTCTGCTCATCCCATCAGTTTTGACAGGAGGGATATGCTTCAAGTCCTGTCTATTAAGGAGTTACATCTGGCAGGAACCAGGAGACAAGTGGAGCATCATTCCTTGAGAGATGACATTGGTTGCATCCTTGGAAACATGACTGTGTCAAACAGCCTTGACGATCACAGAAAAATGGCAACTGATGAGATGGCTACAGTGTAACACCAAATATGCTTTTGAGAGTCACAATTGTAAGATAGGCAGTTGTATCCTAGGGCTGAGAGAGAGTAACTTGCCCAAACCTATAATTGGGCTTGTGGCTCAGGCAGAACTAGAACTCATAGTATCCCAGGTTCCAACCTAGTACATTATCCACTACACCAAACTAACTCTCCTTATAATCTACTGTATATCATCAAACTATAGCAACAAGATGAATCTATATTGAAACACCTGCTGTTGGTATATTTTATTTTATGATATTTTTTTAAAAATATATCTGCCATTTAATCATTACCAATCCTCTGAGGGTGTCTGGACAAGTCCATGCAGTTTTCTTGGCAAGGTTTTTCAAAAGGGGTTCATCATTGCCTCCTTCTTAGGGCTAAGAGAAAGTGACTAGACCAAAGTCACCCAGTTGGCTTGGTGTTCAAGGCAGAACTAGAATTCACAGTCTCCCAGTGTCTAGCTGGATGCCTTGACCCATTGCAACAAAATAGCTCTCATTAAAATGCATTTAGAGTATTTTAAATTGCTTTATAAGCATAATTTAAAAAAATAAAAGATATCAGAAAGTATCTTGTGAATCAATAATGGATACTTAGGGAATTACAGTACTTCGCTGTAAACTGAATCCAAATTAAAAATCACAACTGCTTTAAAATTTCACTAGAGGGCATTACAATTCCAATCAGCTTCTCAGTGAATGTAAGTGTAAAAAAACATACATAGAGAAGGAGGCTGGTAAGATGGTCCATTGATCACAATGCCTTTGTTTGCTTATAACACAACCATCTGGAGTAAGTCAAAACAGAGCAAAGCCATAGAAAAACAACCTAATGCAGTAGGAAGGACAACGTCCCACAGTAACAATATCCTAGCCCAGTTCAATCTAAATTTGGAAGGCAGTACAAAAAAGTGCCAGAGACCCCCAAAATATAATCCTAATTTTTTTTTCAGAATAAGGGAGGAGGATGGAATTGGTTCATATTTAAAGCAAGCATAATACATTTGATTCAGCTAGTCTACAAGCATTGTGTAATTCAACAAAGTTGCACAAAAGATAATTGGTGCAAATGTCATTATCTTTTGTGTTTACTCACCCTTCCATCACAACTAAATTTAAAACAACATTATGGATTAAATTTTCAGTGGGTCAAAGGACAAAATGCAAATAACACAAGCTCATATTCTCAGAGCTAATGTAAATAATTCGGTGTGTGACCACTGCATTTCCAGTCTTTGGACTAGTATAAATTGTACAGGAAAGAAGCTTATTGGTGGTGTCTTCAACTGGACTAGTAAATAATTCCAGAAAATTTGACAACAAAGCAAGAAAATGTAACCGCTTATTTCATATTTTTCATAAAACACATTCACAGGTCCAACAAGGCTGAAGTATTCCAGCAGTTTATATTTTATGCTGACCAGATTTTATTGTTCCTCAAGCAGCAGGACATGCTCGGATTCATCCTAAATTTAAAAGTTAAATTGCCATGACAACCCTACTAGTCAAATTAATATAAAGTGAATTAGAAATAAAATCGTAGCTTATTTCAGCGAGTAGTTTTGCAACTGTACAAGCAACCTCTTAATGAGCGCTAAACTTATTTGAAATTACAGTCTTATCAAATCACAGCACAACGCCACCTGTATCCAACTTCCGACCAGCGTGGGTTGAACGCGTTGCGCAAAAAGAGAAACAAGGACAGCAAAACGCCTTGTTTCCCAGGAGACAACACTTTAGGTAAAACTTCGTTTCTCACACCGACTACGAACTGATTTAAACGTTTAAATATGCGCTCCCTTCCGCAGCTGAGTCCTCTTTCCAACCCTCCGGAGCCCGCCCGGAATTGAGGTGGGCGGTTACAAAAGCAGCAGGCGTGATATAATCTCTCAGCCCCTCTCATTCACCCCCGGCAGCTGTCGAAAGCGGGTTTAGGAAAGAGAACATGGCTTCGCGGAGCGGACAAGATAAATAACACCCGAGTATTGAACGCAACAGGTAAGGCCGCGGAAATGGCCGTATCCACTCGGAAAGGCCACTCGGGGGAAGAAAGGTGAGCAAAAAGGAAATGACTGAGCCTCCCACCCCCTCGTGTTATTTCCTCGAGTGACGAAAGAAAGTCTCTCCAGCGAAAGGTCTTTCTGTGCCCGTCCGTTTATTTGCTCTGCTTCTAAATAAGGGCGGCGTGACTTAAGCCGAACGATCTTTTCGTTCGCTTGCCTAAGGTACTCACTTTCTTTCTTTTGTCCGGCTTGTTCAAGGTATATGCTGCCCTTCCGAATCGGGTTTCTGAGGATTAAGAATTACGATTTGGCCGAAAACAAAGTTAGCTTGAGAAAGAGAGCTAAGAAGTTATTAGTAGGCGTAGCTAAGTCTTAGTTTCCTTCTCGCAGAGTTGCTCTAATACAGTCAACTCTCTGTGAACCCCACCAGCCAGCCTCGAAAAAGCTTGTGGTAGTTGCAGCTAGCTAGTCCAAGAGTTCTTGAGAAGGTGGTCCTTCCTCCGTTCGGTTCACGGTCTCTTAGGAAAGTGTGTTTCAGCACCTGGGTATGTTGACGCCAAGGTATTAGTGAAAGCAATCCATAGTCAGGACATAATTCTTGGCTATGTTTTCTGGTTAACAGCATTCAGTAAAATGCTGAATAACTATGAACATGTATGTCCTTTCATCTCTTACCCTGTGAATGGGATTTTGTGAGCCAGGCAATTTTGCCATGCAAAATTCTTTACAAAGGAAATGAGGTAGCAGATGGGCGTACAAATACTTGGTCTATGTCTTCAGTGGTTATATTCCTCCTTCCTTCTGATTCTTGTGTAATTTCTGGGAGCAGTCTAATGCCATTTATATTCTGAAACCATAATGGTTGTACAGGTTAGGCTAGTTTGTGAGAGTTCTGTAGCCTGTTTCCAATGCGTTCATTGTACTTGACTTGTGCTAACTTGTGTCTGATATTCTTAGAGTGAGATTAATTCTTCCTAAAGTCTGTAGTGACTAATCTATTATTTTCTTCTTGACAGGTACCAGGCTATGTTATTTTTTTATGTTTTGCTATTTCAGCTCCTTATAAATTTGTCTGCATTTCCTCACTGTTCAATACCAATCAAGAAATCAAAGGGTGAAATAGAAGAAGGTAACTTATTTATATCAATCATTGTATTTTTGTATTAAAATTGTTCCTTATGTAAAGGACAAAATCAAAGAAGTAAAATTATGATTGTATACTGTAGCCTAATCTAAATGCTGTTGCTCAAAATGGTTCAATCAGAGTTCAAGTGTCATTGTAATATATATAAATATACATACACACTATGATATATATGTGTGTGTGTGTATATATGTATATGTATATGTGTATGTATGTATAGGTATATATATGTTTGTGTGTGTGTGTTTTCGTAGATTTTCACGGGTGTAGGTATGCTGGTCTTGTTGTATTCAGGTCTTTTCCGTGTAAAATTGAGATTGAAAATCTCAATCTTACACAGGAAAAGACCCGAATACAACAAGACCAGCATATATATGTATGTATGTATGTATGTATGTATGTATGTATGTATGTATTCATGTATGTATTTGAAGTTACAACCCAAATATTTGTGCTGATAAATAAATAAAGGGAGACTAGTATAGATCTATTTCAAGCTATTTAGCTCTTATCAACTAGCCATACCCTTACTGGGATTAGAACCTGTGCTGTATTGCATCTTAGGCAGATATATGTATGTATGTATGTGTTTTATATATATATATATCTGGATTTAAACCAGTTTTTTCAAGGCTATTTCTCTTTAGCATATTTTGTTAAATGTCACAATGTTACAGCCAGTTATATAAATACATGATCTAGCCTTCCAAGAACATCATCTTCTTGTACAATTCACCAACATCATTACTAATCCCTTAATATAGGCAAACATTTACCAGATTTCTTCATCAGGTATGTCTGTAGCTTCTAGAGCCCTAGCTAGTTCTGAAATTGTGAAGAAAACTGCCAGGTCTTGTTCAGCTACTGTAGTCACCAGGATTTAAGGCTGATTCAAAAGCACAAATCAAACAGACCAAATCCAAGGACTAGTCAGGTGTAACCTCATTACCTTTCTGAGATCAAGCCAAATTGTCCAATAGATGGTAGAAATTTGCCAATCTGCTGACCATATCCATAAACTTTTTTTAAAGTTGCCTTGACAGACTCTATCTCACCAAATTTGATAGCTCTTTGGGCAAATTCAAAAACTTCCTGCTCATTATCTTCTTACAATATTTTTCTAATAGGTAACTTAAAGATGATGCAGTTCTAACGGTTCCTACAGATCTATATTGATGCATGCTAATGTAACATAGATATTGAAAAAAGATGGGTATATTTTGTAGAATTAGACTTAGGTGAGATTTCCCCCTTAAAAAAGTAATTGCCTCAATAGTATTATTGGCTGGGGAATTAAGGGAACAGTGGGTGATACCATTATAGTAAGGGGGTGATTCCATTCCTTAAGCTAGAAATGACTTTCTTGCCCCTTAAACTCTCAAGCAAGCCAGTCGGTCATGGTATAAAGGCAAAAGTGAGAAACATAGAAACTCAACTTTGAGACCTTTAATTACAGGAGACATATTTCACATTTGCATTCCAAATTTTACTCATAAGTGACTGCCAAATTAAAGGAATGAATAAATAATGCTGCTAAACAAAGCTTGTCCCAATCTTTTGCATTTTATAGAAAAATGGAGATAACTTTAAAAATAGACTATTAAACAATACTGTGCTTATCAGCTCTTCTGTTTCTATTGTTTTGTTTGGTCAAAAAATATGTTTTACATCTTTTGAAATTGCAGGTGGGTTTTTTTGAAGTGTTTTTATGTTATTGTCATACCTTGTAATATTTAAGTAAAAGATACTTTAATACACAGAGTTCTGTAATAAATGACAAGTTAAAAAGTGGCATGTAGGCTGCATCTGGCATCTTTTCATGCTGCCATGGTTGCAGGAATGTAGAAAAAATAATGTATAATTTAAGCTACAGTGACTACGTGGTTTTCTGGAGTGACTTGGAAAACAGCGTGATTAAAAACATTCATTGAATGGTACCTTGACTTTCTCAATGTAGCAATAATAAAATAATGAGCATACAAAGAATTATAAGCGAAATAAAGTGGGGAGGAGTTTTAAATATTTTAACAAATCCTTGGCATTCTAACATATTAACATTATTTTAACTATATTTTAGTATTCATCCTTGCAGAGAAAGCTAATTTATTCATTGGACGACATCTTCTATACAACCGATTTGACTTTGAACTAATAACCCAAGGAGATCTTGAAAGAGAATGCTATGAAGAACAATGCAATTTTGAGGAAGCAAGGGAAATTTTTGGAGATTCAAAAAAGACAGTAATTATTTAACTTAAATTCTATTGAACATTTGACATATACATTTTTTGATTGATAACAAGTCAACAGCATACTCTGCATAGGAGCAGCTGTTAACTTTTCTTAGATACCCTAATAATGAAGCCTTTTAAGTTAGACCTGGTCATCTTGTTCTTTAATTGTTTGAACTGATCCTTTGAGAGCTGTATGCAATGAAATTTCATTTTAATGTATGCCAATTAGTGTACATTCAAAGAGACAAAGTTATTCTAAAGTTATTCTAAATTCTGTCATGCAGGGATGGAAACCATTCCATTTAGAAAGTGGCTATCAAATATACACATGAATGTCTTTATAAATCCAAACACATGTGAAATAGGGATATTTATTTTTCTTGGGATTAAGAAAACTGGCTTTCAAAATTTGTGTGATCACTTTAACAGTGACAAGATACCTACCATTTCATTTACCAGTCATTGTCTTACAGAGAAAAGGATTTGAAATGTGTAGTAGATATGTGGATATTTATTTATTTTTATATTTATCTAGAAAAGTATGGATCTCAACTCATACTGCAAATGTATGAAGGCACTAAGGATGTGATTTGTAAAAATCATATGTGGATGATGTAAAAAAATCCTAAACACTATCCAGTTAAGGCCAGCGGTGTTCATACAATCATATTCTATGCAGTACTTTTTCTAGGAAAATGTGTGTTTCTTGTGAAAACGGTTTCCTTTTTCAAACATCATATTATGGTACCCTGGATGCTGGTAAAATGTAATATCCCTGCAACAGTGTTTGAATATTCACTCAATTATAAATATGGAATGTAAATCAAATAAACAGAGCTGTCACTTTGAGAAACAAACACATTCAGTGCAACAGTCTTATTCTAGGAACAAGGTTCAATAATTGTCATGATCCAACTATTTCAATTTGCTTCTAAAGTAAGTCACAATAATTTATTTAAAATGTAATATCACATCTCTCCTGTCTTCCTCGTCCCCAATATCAAAGACAAATTGAAATTTCAAATTCAAAAATGTCAATAGAAGTTGACATTTGACCAGTGCAATATAAGTTCTAAACAAAATTACTAAGGTATTGATACATTTAATATCTAGTTTTAACATTTGAAAGCAAGTACAATTAAAAGTTGATCTGTCTAATTTAAATATATATATAAAGCCAAACTTGGTCAGACTCATGTACACATAATCTAAACACATGTTTTTGTTTTCTTAGATGTCTTTTTGGTCTGAATATACTCTTAGAGGTCCTGGCTCAAAAACAGGTAAGACAGAAACAACATATGATCTGTTAAAATTATTTTGACATATAGTATCTTGGTTTATTCTTCTGTATATGATGAATGACAGCTGTTTTTTCCAGTGGATATAGCAAACAAGAGATCCAAGCTGTAATCAGTGTATTCATCTTCAACAAGAAATTTGTTGTGGTTCTTCTGATGCACACAGCAGAATAAAGGACTTGTTGACACAAACATTGTTCAGCAAAAATGATTACATTTATATTAGAAAAGAGTATTCACAGTATTATGACTTGGCATTTTCTTTTTTATATGCTGTATTTTATATATGGAAAAGTGTTTTCTCTCAAACTAGTAATGCATAGAAGGACAAGATTTTGTTAACTCAGATGTTTAATTTCCTGCCATTATCTGCTCTGTCGTATGTTGTGATCATACAAATCATATACTACATTAAGTTCTGAACTATCTGTGGACTAATGTATGGAAATTTTAAGTATTTCCAGAAATTTTAACATTGTGTTAGCAAAATCTGCCTCTACAATAGTTTGTACAAGTGTTCCCCCATCTGAATTTCCTACCCAGATCTTTCCTATGTTACTGGTGCATATTTGAAGAGTATCAATATAAAACCTTTTTGGTTGACCCCTTCCAAGAATTTCTTAATAGAAGATACTTAAGATAGGCTACCACTGCTCAGGCTGAACTCCTGACATGTCCTAATCTATCCAGTTGGGCAGTTTTGAGAACCTTCAGCTGGAATATTTTGTGTTGACTGAGTTAAGGTTAAGATACTTTATGGGACATGACCTATTGCTGCAGTGGGCAAGGGGTAAGAAGCCACTGTTTTGTCCTCTTTCCTTTCTCCTGTCTGCCTTCAATTGCTACAGCTTGTGGGGAGAAACCTCATACCCAAGAATTTTCACAATGGAAAAGCTAAGAGATTTGCTTGGCACTCAGAGAGTTCTACTTTTCCATCTTACAAAGATGGAAAAGATCTTTGGATATTCCTGCCTAAAGGCCAGAAAATTGTCATACAAAGTCACCAACATTTACTAGAAATGAAAGCATAGAAGAAAAATCAGACAACTATCTGTGTCTCTCTGTCTGTTTTTCTCTTTGTCCTTCCTTCCCTCCCTCTCCTCCTTCTCCCTCTCCCTCCCTCTCTCTCTCACATACACACCTGTTAAAACTAGTCACACTATCTCCATGAATAAGTGGTTGGGCTTCAGCAAGTTTTCAGAGTTTCTTGTACAGAAGTCACCTTTGATTGTTACTTGTCACCTAATTCATTAGCATTTAAAAGCTATAATTGTACTTGAAAAGATGCATAATGGATATATTACTTTTATAAATCTAGGGAATAAGTTAAGGAATTTGTTCCTTATATTTATTGGCATACTGTGATCACATTTTCTGGCAATACTGGATTAAAGTGTGATTTAAGGTAGATCAGAAAATACTGAGATGGTTGAATATATTTAACAGTCTTTTCTTTATGTGCAGATGGCAAAGCAGCAGAGAAGATTGATGTTATAGGACTTTTGACTGGATTGATTGCTGTTGGAGTACTATTGATTATACTCGGTTTGCTTATTTATTATCTGTGCCAAAGAAAATGCAAACCAAGATTACCAGGGTAAGAAAACAAATGTTAGAGTTACCGGTATCAGTGTTGATATCAACATTAAATATATTATTGTATCAGGACATAGCTTGTATTTATGTTTACATTTGATGGTTATATTCTGCATAGATTTATGTTGTATGTACCTGATAACTTCTGGAGAATTGGTAACAGGTTTGAAGAACAAATATAATTTCAATATTCAAAAAGGTGAAAATGATTGACCCAGGAAATTACAGGTAGTTTAATGTATCTAATGGGCAATCTACAATAGAACAGATTATCAACAAGCTATGATGCCAAGAATTGCTACCATTATCTGAAGTCAGCATGAATTTGTCGAGAACAGGTTAGGTTCATCTTAGGTTTTTTCAATTACAAAGTGACTAGTTTGGCAGATGAAAGGAATTCTGTGGTGTAGTATAGCATAATGTTAGGATACTGGGTGGGTAAATAGACTAGACAGTAATAGGATCTGAAACATTTGCTGAATATGTACTGAATAAATACATCAAAAGAGTGCTCATAAATGGTTCTATAGCTTCCTGGAGGGGAAATATTGATAACCTGGTGCTGGTCCAATGGCCCAATTGAATGGCCCAATGGCCATTGAAAATGCTATTTCATGTCTTTGTAAATGACTTGGAATATATGGAGATGGAATGTATGCATATTAAATCTGACAGAAAGATATTCAAATGTAAGGTCATGTGCTTGAATAGATAAAGCATTGGAAGACTAGTTGGCAGATAAGATTCCAATAAAGGAGAATATTTGTAGTTCAGGGTTAAAATGAGAGATCCTTGGTACTCTCTGAGATTGTTGTTTTCTTCCAGACATTTCATTATCCAAACTAGAAAACATCATCAGTGCTAGTAAGGAGTGGGGTTTGCTCTCAATTTATATTCTAGTGAATTGCCCTGTCCGTGTTGGTGGGGATGGTTTTAGAGATTCTTTGGTTGGGCTGTTTGGTGTTGGCTTGTTTGGCAGTTTCTTGATTGGGATATTTACTTGATCGTTAGTCTGATGTTAATCTTGGAGTTTATGCTCCTCTGATTGCTGATGGCTGGTCTATTTTAGTCTTTTCATTACCTTTTTAGCTTGTTGGTTGTCTCTTTTGCATAATTTATATTGTTTATGCCTATGTATCTACTTATAGCTATTTTGTCAGAGTGCCAGGCTTCTAGAAATTTCCTAGCATTTTTGGACGGCTTGGTTTAGGATAATCACAGTTTCCCAGTTAAAACTATGGTTAAATCTGTCTGCATCTTGTTAATTAAAGCCACTAGAATAAAGTGTTTTCATCATGTCTTCTGACTGTTATTTGGTGTTCATGGATATATTCTGCCATTCTTCTGTTCATCCTATGTAATGGCTGTTGCGGTCATTGCAATGTATGTTGTACTCCTGTTTTTTTTTTCTTCTGGGTCTTTTGGTTTACTTAAGATGTTTTGAAGGGCTTTAGTTGACTTGTGTGCCACACCGATTCCATAGATTTGTAGTAGCCTGTTGGTGATTTCTGAGATGTTCTTGATGTATAGCAGTGTTATTGAATTTCAACCAATTGAAACATCCAGGATTATGGATCTCACAAATGCCAGCCTAACCACATGCTTCCAATATGATGGACAAACTTACCAACAAATTAAAGGTAGACTTATGAGATCGCCACCTTTAGGACTTATAGAAAAGATCATTATGCAATGTCTCGAAGTCATAGCCCTTCCACAAAATAGGGATCCAGATATGTAGATGACATCTTCACCATGATAAAAAAGGCCAGTTAGAGAACACCCTCAGTACCATCCACAGCATCTTCAAAAGAATCCAGTTTACCTGAGAAAACCCACTATCCTTCCTGAACATCCTGATCAGAAGAGAACACAATGGCAAACTAGAAACATGTGTACAGAAAAGCCATCCACAACAATCAAGTGCTGTACTACCAAAGCAACAATCCAATGTCTGATAAAAGAAGTTGCGTGACAACCTTATTTAAACCACCACAACTCACTACAGCAACCCTGAACAGCAGAAAAAGGAAATAGAGCATCTACAATATATTTCAACAAAATGGATATCCACACAACTTTATCAAAAGGTTCTTGACCATTCAACCCAAACAGCACAAGTAACACAAACCCTAAAAGAATAACACTACCAAACATTGAGAAAATCTCAGAAACCACCAATAGATTACTACAACTTCATGTAATCAGTGTGGCACATGCCAACAATAGCACTTTAAAACCTCTTAAGGAAACCAAAAGACCCAGCAGCTCCTGAAGAAAAAAACAGGAGTAATTTACAATATACAGAGTAATGACAGCAACAGCCACTATGCACAACAAACAGGCAGAAGACTGAGAATGCATCCATGAACCCCAACTAGCAGTCAAAAGACATGATGAAAACTCTTTAATTTCACAACACATGAAGAGGTTTAACCATAGTTTCAATTGGGAAACTGTGACCATCCTAGACCAAATCATGGGAAAAGACCCGAATACAATAAGATCAGCACACCTACACCCGTGAAAATCTACGAAAATATACATACATACATACATACATACATACATACATACACACACACACACACACACACACACACACACACACACACACACTATGCAAAAGAGACAATCAACAAGCCAAAAAGGGGACAAAAAGACCAAAACACCTCCCCACCTGCAATCAGCACCTAGATTGATAGATTAACTCCAAGATTAACATCAGACTAACAATCAAGTAAACAATACCCTAATCTACCGTGTTTCCCTGATGTCCTGATATTAAGGCCATGCCACATTTTTGGGTGGACAAAAATGTAAGCCCTCCCATGAAAATAAGCCCCCTGGACAAACCCCCACTCTGGCCAGGCAGAGCGCCGCTCACTTACCTAGTGGTATCCCAAAGGCACCAAGCTGTGGGAACGAGGTGGGGGGGCAAAGGCTCGCATTGCTTGGTGCCTTCAGGATACTACTCAGTCAGTGAGTGCACTGTGCCCAGCTGGAGAGGGGGGTTGCTGGTTAGTTGCTGTCTTGCGAGCTGGCTCCCGAAGAGCCAGGCGCAACCTCAAGGTCGAACAGCTGCTGCCAGCAGAGCGTACTTCCAGAGCATACAACCATAGAGTGTACTCCCAGAGCGGCAACTGTTGGAAGACTCGGCATACTACCTCCATGCTTTGGAAGTTGCAGAAAAAGCCATGTGGCGGCAGCGGCAATGACAGAGATGCCCTGATTCTGCAGGGAGAATTAGGCAAAGGCATCGTGAGCCTGGGAGGTCCATGAGCGGGGAGCGGAAAAGACGCTCATGCAACCCCCCTCTCCAGCTATGGAGAGCCCCATTCACTGACCTAGGAGCATTCCAAAGGTACCAAGATGCGGGAGCAGGAGGGCTGTGAACGGGCGTTCTCGCGGCTTGGTGATACCCTTAGGTCAGTGAATGGAATTGTGCCCGGCTGGAAAGGGGAGTTACCGGGCGGCTGCTCATGAACGTGATTACCTCATGGCTGCTATGTAGTGCTGCTGCGACAGCACAGCTGTTCAACCCTGAGGCTGTGCTTGGCTCTTCGGGAGCCCACTTGCAAGAAAGCAGCCACCCGGCAACCCCAAAACAATAAGCCCTCCCCTGATAATAAGACCTAAGTCATATTTTGTGGGGCAAAATAAAATAAGACCCTGTCTTATTTTCGGGGAAACACAGTAGGAACTGCTAACAAGTCAGCAGTAAACAGCCCAACCAAAGAATCTCCAAGATCACTTCCACCAACAGTTGACAGGGCAATCCATTAGAATATAAACTGAGAGTAAACCCCATATTTACTAGCACTGATGATGTTACCTATTTTGAGTAATGAAATGTCTGCAAGAAATAATAAGGTCGTTTGTTGAAGGTCAGAAAGTCAACAAATCACAAATAAGATTTAAGTATTTAAGAGAACTTGCAGACCACTAATACACTCACCTGCCTTTACTCGCATATGAACTTACTGTAAGTGACATCCCATTCCTAATCCATAGAGTTCAATATGACGTTGATCCTCCCTTTGTAGCTATAACAGCTTCAACACTTCTGGGAAGGCTGTCCACAAGGTTTAGGAGTGTGTTTATGGGAATTTTTGACCATTCTTCTAGAAGCGCATTTGTGATGTCACACACTGATATTGGATGAGTTTAGGTGGCCTACCACTTTGTGGCTGAGTTGCTGTCGTTCTCAAACACTTCCATGTTCTTATAATACAGCTGACAGTGGACTGTGGAATATTTTGGAGCGAGCAAATTTCACGACTGGATTTGTTGCACAGGTGGCATCCTATCACAGTTCCACGCTGGAATTCACTGAGCTCCTGAGAGCGACTCATTCTTTCACAAATGTTTGTAAAAACAGTCTACATGCCTAGGTACTTGATTTTATACACCTGTGGCCATGGAAGTGATTGGAACACCTGATTCTGATTATTTGGATGGGTGAGCGGAATACTTTTGGCAATAGTGTATTTAGGAATTGAAGGATAGGATGAATATGAATACTAATAATAATAATAAAGAGGAATTTAGAAAGTACATTATGCTGAGTCCAAATTTTGGTTTATGTAATGCAATAGGAATTTTACAATTCTCTAGGGTTTCATTTTGGATTATTTTCAGTCCTAACTCGATGTGGCAGGTCTTGAATCTCTGACTTTTTCTTATGCATTGCATAAAATCTGAGTCACAATTCCTTCCAGAAATCTGTAACAGATTAAATAAAGCATAGCATCTTGGAATTATGTGACACTTTTATAAAGATTAAATAACATATTACATACATACATTTCCTTGGATATTGTAATACGAGTAGCGAAAATTACAGTTCATATTTTCTGGCAGTAAGGGAGCTGGTGTTCCAAAGCTGAAAATAAAATGGTATATCATTTTTTAAAATAACACATGTATTACAATGTACATCTTGTCATATCAGTTGTCTTCCAAAGGAGTGAGAAAGCATATCCTTAGTGCCATTAATTTGTTAAGCATATTTAGGTTAGGATTATTCCTAGGACATTGAAGATTTTAGAATGTACTGTTCTTCAAACAAGTTGTATTTATGGTTAGTTATTGAGGTCATCCCCTTAATATGTTCTTCAGTAACAAAACATTGTGGGAAAGATTCTAATAGTTTTTACTTGATAGCCTATGCAGGTATAATACAGCTTCTTAAAAATTGGATGAGTGGTTATTGAGCAATAACATAGCATGACTGTTCACCAATAATATTTTCACTAAAAAGAAATGTTTGAATGTTGTTTGTAATTAATCCTTTGACTCAACCAGAGCAAGGTCTAAAAATCATGGCATGCAGTGTAAACAAAACTCTTCTCAGTTTCTGTGGAATATTACCTTTTCAAATTGTTACAAAGTGTGCAAGATATGCACGTATCTCATACCATTGTTCACAAACAGTGAATTCAGAGTAATAACTTCAGCAGCCTTCAGTAGTCTTTGGTAATAGAAGACCTTAACTATTTTCATAAAAGTAGCATTTCACTTTATCTTTTTGAGAATGACCACTAGTGATGGCAGAACTTTACTTCTTTTATAATTGTCATTTGGATTCTTAAAATAGCTAATGGCAGTTTCTGTCTCCAAATAGTATGAGACGTTGTGAACTGGAAAGATTACAATATAACTCATTGCCCATATCTATTAGCCTGTCCCATTTTGAAATGTTTAACTGGTTTTATCTTTTTGTGCAACTTTTGTTTTCATGCTTATCCTATGTTCATTATTGCATAGAACAATTAAATACCTAATCAATAAAGTTATTTGTAAGGCTATATTAATCATATTTGGCTCACATGCTAGTATAAATAGAGTGTAACTATTTCACTGGCTGTGTTTTGTCCTAAATTCCAGCCTAGAAAGATTTGCATCGTCGTAACAAGATGTCATTTCTTCAGAACTTTGTAAGAGTTTAAAATGTCATGTGAAAAGTTAGTGAAATTAATGTTTAATTCAACTTAATCTTTACTTTGAGCTAATGTATAAATATATAAAATACAATGAATTGCCTATTAACATTTTATGTTCAAATGCAATGTCTTTTTTCCCATTAATTCAAGAATATGTGAGTATACATAATTGTCCTGTATTATCTGCAAGCAGTATTTATGTCACGAATGAAGGCAAATATACCTGTCCCAGGATAATGTTGCAGGATCCAATCTGGAACAGTCACCTTTGGTCCCAGTGACCGGCCCAGATTGGATCCTGCAGTGTTATATTTCATAATAAGTTCCTGGAATAATGTTTTACAAATTAGATTTGTTATTCTCATCTCCCACATGTAAGCTACTTGGTAAGTCTGTTTTTTTAATTAGTCTGTTCTCAAACCAACTATGTTCAAGTTGTCTATGTTCAAAATGTTACTGAGTGACTTTGGACCAGTCATTTTCTATTTAATCTACTGGGGTTAAATTCTTCTGGGATTAAAATGAAGGCAATCCCCATTTTTGGATGTCTTAAGCTCCAAATGGCAGAAAATAAACCACAAACTTTGAAAATTAGGTTGCATGAACCTAGAAACAAAATCACATTTTTGAAATTTTTATTTTCATTTAATGGTAGTGGTAATCAAAGACAGTAATTATGAAGAGGCATCTTAAAAAAAAACCATTTCAATAAAACATTCCATTGTCCCATATTCAATATAAAAGCTGTTTCAAGAAACTTAACACTATACTCCAAATGTCCAGAATAGTTAATTTTTATCCAAAATCCTACTGCCATTAAAACCTCTCATGGGTTTATAAATAATTTATGGAATTTGACAGTTTAACAGCAGAAATGGCCTTGACTTGAACATTAATGTCTACTTGTTTCTGTGTCTTCTGTCCCAGAAGCTGCTTGGAGGGAAATCTTGATAACTCTTGAAAGTGCATAGAAAACATTTTCATGTTAGAATGAAATATGAAATTTTAACATACATTTATGGACTTAAAGGTTATAGTATCCATGACCAAACTAAAATTATAATTGTGGCTTATCTGAAAATGAGCCATTTCCTGGTTCATTTTGTCACTCTGATTTGGCTTCTGCTGCTATTTGGCAAGGCTAACAAATCTAGTGAGATCATCCATGTTTTGTTTAGTATTACACATCAAGAAGGAATTTGGGCTTGCTTTTCTTGGAATAAGTAAACTCACAAGCATTTCCCCCTTGGTTTGTGCTCTGATTTGTATTCAGAGATTGCCATTGTTGCAATTTAACAAATCATGGATTAACTTCATGATTCTTTCCATGAGCAGATGTTAAGAGAAATAGAAGATTGCCTGATTCAAGACATTTTTTCAGAGAATTGATTCACTATCATGTACATGTGACCTGATTTCATAGGAAGGACACTTCATCTCTCAAAAAAATATATATTAATCTCTATGACTTTCAAATTATGATTCCATGCTGTATCACAGAATCTAAAGAATGAATGTACAAAGGGAAATATTGGGAAGCTAGATTTTTTTTTACTTTTCTCAGAATAGACAAATTACCTTTCCCAAAGTAACCTCTTTTAGATGTATTGGAATTAATAGTTTCAAAATTCCCACTGTGGAAGATGTTAATTAGTAAGGTTGTATTAACTAACTTCTAAACTAGGAAGATGAAAATATTGTTAGCAGTTTCAATTAATTAGCCTGACTTTTGTTTGCCCTTGTTCATCAAAGGTGTTTTTTTTAATTCTAGGCACAGAAGCTGCAGGAGGCATAATTCTTCCATTGTCTTTCAAAGACAAGAAGAGTTTTCTTTAAATCCTGTCCCACCTCGCACTATAGGACAGATAGGATTGCCAACTTATGATCAAGCAATGGCATTAAGAGAAAATTATGATTCTCCACCACCTCCATATCCTGGACGTTCAGGAAAGCTCAAAGTATTCAAAAAGTCTCTCTCTCTTCCGGGTCCTTAATGAACAAAGTCTATGAAACTGTTGAGAATTAATCTTAATAAAAGATGTGCAGCTAAAATGCTATAGTATAGCACTCTAAGACAGTGAAAAGAATCTCTGAAGATGCCTGCTATGATGGACTAAAGGGTAACGGGTAAATAAGGAACACATTTCTCCAATGTTCTAATAATTCTGAAAGAGTTATATTTGCATTTATGTGTGAACTTGGCTTCTATGCATTTTGAGCCATTGAGTAAACTGATGTACAGTTTTTCTTTTTTCTTGTAACTGAATTTTATTTTCAATTCTGAAAATTACACTAGTTTGCTAACATTTTTTTTTGAATTTTCTCCCATGATAAAAATGTGTTTGTGTCAGTGTTTAATTCCTAGTGACTACCTGATCTAGTCCCTACAGTTTTGTTGGCAATAATGTTGGGCAGAAATACTTTGCCATTGCTGCCTTTCTACGACTTGGAGAAAGTGACTGGCCCCATTTCACCTTTATGCCTAGGGCAGGATTAGAACTTAGGTTTCCTGGTTTGTAGCTTGATGCCTTAATCACTACACCAAACTGGCTCTCCTATGATAAAAATGCCAACACATTATAATTTCAATTATCTAATTGAATATTTTATGTTTCTTATACTAGGAAGAATATATTCATGTGGGTGTTATCAATAAGTTTTTATAAATAAGATAACTTTGTACCTAGTTTCATTTTCTTTGTTAATGCCAATTAAATAATGAATCTGAAAGAAAATGATATCTGAAAAATTGCCTTATTAAACAAAATATCAGTTTAGATGTTAAACAGACTTTGATGAGCAGCTTACAAAGAAGACATGATGTGATTGCTATTCTTTCACTATTTATTTGAAGGGCAATATGGCTACAAGGTGAGGTTGGGTCACAGCAAACAAAAGTGTATCTGGATTTTCAGAGGTGGAAGGTATTTAAAAAACTAGACTTATTTAAAGGCACTATTAGATGCTAACTAATCAACAACCTTCAACCAAGGGGTGTGGTGGCTCAGTGGCTAAAGACGCTGAGCTTGTCGATCAGAAAGGTCGGCAGTTCGAATCCCTAGTGCTGCGTAACAGACTGAGCTCCCGTTACTTGTCCCAGCTTCTGCCAACCTAGCAGTTCAAAAGCATGTAAAAAATGCAAGTAGAAAATAGCGACCATCTTTGGTAACAGTGTTTTGCGCACCTTCGGCATTTAGTCATGCCAGCCACATGACCACAGAGACATCTTTGGACAGCGCTGGCTCTTCGGCTTTGAAACGGAGATGAGCACCACCCCCTAGAGTCGGGAACAACTAGCACATATGTGCGAGGGGAACCTTTACCTAACAACCAGTTTTCCCCCCCATGGCAATCTGTTCCTAACCTGGTTCGTCAAGTTGTCCAAATGTGATTGTGACTACTCACTGAAGAATGACAGAAATGTGTCTTCAATTTTCAGCCCACATAAAGGAATTCTAAGGAATGCTTGGCACTGCAGTTTACCAATCTTTGTTCTGAAAGAAAATGCTAGATGCCAAAGCTTTGAGTCACTTAAATATTAAACCAATTTATCTACCATATTGACTTATACAAGCTTGTTAGAATTGCCATAGGAGCCATTTCTGCAGACCATTCTACAACAATTTAAATCCTTTGTTGTCCACCTTTGTCAAAATAATGAAATGCAAGATAGTTTAATCTATTTCCTCTGCACAATACATAATGGCAATGTTGTATCTCAAAGTCTGTGTCTTCCCTTTCAATGAATAACTTTTAATTCAAATTTCCATATTTCAAAGTAGGTCTCTACATGCCAGAATAAGTATACAAACTTTCCTCAGATGTTAATTTCAAACTCCTTTTAACTGCATTTCCTAGGCACCAACACAAAAGTTGGAAGTCAGTAGTAGCATTTCTGTGCTAAAAAGATGCATGCTTTAAATTTATTTTTTTCAGCATTCATTTTTACATTATCTTGTTATTGCTACTTATAATTATCAAACATAAATACAAAAAATGTTGAGTTGTAGCACTCAAGCACAGAAATGTGATGATTCATTGTGTAGCAGTCAAGCACAGAAACATAGTGATTCATTCAGGAGATAGGAAGAGGATTATCCTAAACATTGGACGCATTTAAAACACAATTTATGAAGTTCCATTGTTCAGGTATTTTATCTCACACGCATTCTGAAATAGTAAATATATATGTAAAGAAAACTTTCCACACACAACTTTGTTTTGAACTTTCAGAGAAGTTTTCCCACTATCTTGCCTGGATTTTCCATCATGCATAGGTATACATAATAGAGACACTAAAAATTGCAATCACGTGTCTAGTGTGTATATACAAGCAATTTAAGAAATTTAAAGCATACATAAATAGGGGAAAGTGAAAATGTATCGTTTAAAGATGACAAGCTACGTGGGTCACGAAGCCATTTCGCGCGTTATTTTGTTAGCCTTTTGTTAGAGCATTTCATCATACGCGAAGGCTTAAAGCTACTACACAACCGTCTACAAATCCCAGCAAAGCTTTTCATGGACAGGCGTTGCAGAGATGGAAACCGCGGGAACGGAGAGGACATTCCCCCCCGCCCCGCCGCCGCTTCATTTCGCCACCGCGGGAACAAAGTGAGTTGGAGCAGCAATCCCTTCGCGCTCCCGCTCGGCGTCCTTCTCCTCGCTGCAGGCGCCCTCTTCTTTTCTCCTGCTACGGCTGCAACTCCAGCATACCGGCCGCAGCAGGAAGAGCAGCGGCGGCGGCGGCGTTTCTCGTGTCCTGAAGCCGATCGGGCCCCCAGTCAATTGGAGCGGAGTGGGAGGGGCAGCCTGGGAAAGCCACAGCCCGACATGGGTCTTCGGCGAGGTAGCTCGCAGCCCTTGCTGCCAACTTGGCCGCGGCGCACCGCAGCTCTCCGGGTTCCAAGCCGCTCTCCCGCCTCTCGCAGCGGAAATTGAGGGGAGGACCGGGTGGGGGGGTGGCCGCCGCCGCAGCTGCCCTCCTCCTGTGAGCGGGAAGGGGGAGTCGTCCCACTCTACTCGGTCCCTGTAGCCTACCCCCCCCTCCCCTCTCCGCCCCGGTTGGCCGCTTCTTACGCGCCAGGCCCCGAGCGCAGCCCGGCGTCCCCTCCTTTCCCACTCGGATGATGGACAGGAACTACCCACCAGCCCCCAGCTACCCTGATCCATTGGGTTCGGCCGCCTCCGCGTCTTCGCAACCCGCCACCGTCTGGGCCTATGAACGGGGCGTCAGCAGCCTCAAGCCCAGGTAAGGAGGGTCTCTTCCTCGCCAGCCCGGGGGTGGAGTGGAAGGGGGCTGCGTCAGGAAAGGCCGGGGATTGAGACGAGGCCTGCCGTCCCTCGCGCGCCCGCGGGACCTGCTCGCGGCGCTTTCGCCTCCTCCCAGGCTGGGCGGCTTCCCTGCTCCGTGGCGTGGCGTGGCGTGGCACGGAGAAGAGAGGTCTCCTGGAGAAGAGAGAGGGCGCGTCTCCGGTCTTGGGCCCGCCAGTAGGGGAGCGCTAGGGCCCTCGGAATCCCCATTTTCCTCGGAGCTCAAGCCGGGATTTTAGAGGGGCGTAGTAACATAAGACCTGCGCGTGGAGGGAGTTTTAGGGACAATGAAAGCAGGAGGCGTTGCGGGGTGCGATAGAGGAGGGACGCTGGGGAATTCGGGCTGCCGTGGAACCCCGCTTTCGTCTCTCCCCCACCATAATACACACGCTGTTTCAGTCGGGAAAGCGTGTAGTTCCCCACCTCCCGCCCACCCGGGAGAAGAATTCAGCATGACAGAACCCCCCCCCCCCTTTTCCCCCTCCTCTCGCTTCCAGGGTGCCCTGGCCATTGCAAATGCAGAGGGATGGGGCAAAGCCCTTGGCCGCCTCCTCTTGCTTCCAAGGTGCTTATGGGGCAGGCCGTTCAGGTTCAAGAGTTCATGTTTACTTCCTGCGTTGCCTAGGGAAGGCATTTTTGAGGTCTCTGGGAAAAACAGGGAAACCTAACTAACACCCACCCACCCCAATGTATTTATTCAGTGTAGTTAGTAATGGAGAGCAGTCCCTTAAAAAACTGTTTAAAGAAGGTGTGGCTGGTTGATTAACTGATTTAATCAGTTAATGTGGATTTAGAGCATACAAACCAAGAGTAAATGTGCCTTCCCCTTTGAAATTAGAATCTTGCCAGGTTATAAGGTGGTAGCCAGGGTTCGGGGTTGCTAATTCTGGGGGAATCTCATCTGAAGCCACCAGAGACAGGTTTGAGCTCCAGGTTACTGATTTCCAATACCTTTTTATCATTTTCGGTCTTATTTTGCCAGTTTGTACTTTTCCCTCTTTTTTTGTATAGGTAGAGGTTCTGAAGACTATGCTTTAAAACTTGATTCATGCTGAAACTTGCTTAAGAATATTCAGCTCCCAGGGCTAGGCCACTAACACAACGAATATTTGATGGGATACTTTCCAAGGATATTTTATCAGATAGAATAGCAATTGGCTTTCTCATCTTGTGAGACATGAAGTAAAAAATTTAAAAACTAATTATGAAATGAATTTTAATATACATGTAATTAGGTGTTTTAAGGAAGAATCTAAGCGATGTTACACATGTTTACCAGTAATTTGTATGGAACATGACATTTATTTGTGCTCTAATATGTGTTCAGTAAGTGTAAAATAACAACAAAAATGCTATAAATCTTTAAGCCTATAGGTCAGCAAAAATTAAATTAGCTTTGGTTTCTTCAATAGTCCTTATTCTTTGATGGCTTGTATGCTCTATATATTCTTTCTTCCTGTTTGGCAGCTACGTCACTTCTGAAAAGACTTTTTTGTTGTTTACCTTAACAAAATGTATCAAAATATAAATAGACCAAAGCAAAAAAAAAAACACATTTCACTTAAGAAATAGACAGTTGTGCAGGTAGTCCAGTAGTTAAGACACCAGGGTAGAAACTAACAAAATCATGAGTTTTAGCCCCACCTTAGGAATGAAAGCCAGCTGGGTGACTTTGGGCCAGTTACTTTATCTCAGACCAACCTACCTCACAGACTTGTAGAAGAGAAAATAGGAGGAAGGAGGAGCCTTGTGTATGTATGCTCCATTGAGTTTTTAATAAAAGTAATAAAGGCAGGATTAAAAATAAATAAATTATGAGGAAGCACAAAGAAAGCACAAGGTGAAAAGGTGGAGCAGAAAGCTGCCTGAACGGTGAGGAAAACATTTTGAAAGGGGGTGGGGATGATTTCTTACTTTAATTAAATAGTATATGTTCATTTCTTCTGTGGGGGAATGAGTGGGTTCCTGACTAAGGTTTGATTATAATGTAAAATTAGTGGGAAAGATGACTCAGAATATCTGGAAAAAATCTCACTCATCAGCTTCCCTCAATCCTAGATTTTATTAACGTTTCCTTGTATAGTTTTATTGCAGTAAACAAATCTATAGTGAGTTCTTTTAATATCTCAGAATATATTACTCGGGTTACTGAAGAAAATAGTTTATGGATATTGATTATTGCCCTATGGTTGGGACCACTCAAGCCTCAATTGTTGCTTTGAAATCTGCCTTGCTCTGCCGGCAGCCCACCTCAGAAACGCTATAAAAGCAAAATAATTCTAATTCACTCCATATGCACATAATGATTTCAGAAAGTCTCTTAATTGAAGAATATGTACTATCTTGAAGCAGCCTTCATTATTTTGATACAATAGCTCTTCTATGCTGGTTGATGAGTTCAGAAAGTCACACACAGGAGAAGGCCATGTAATAACTTGTTTCAAGTTTCCCACCTGATAAGGGTGGGGAGAGTGGGATAAAGCAAATAATTACTTAATAGTTTGCATTTATGCACTACATGTATGTAGCTAGAATGTCATATGAATAGAAGGACATTATTTTTCTACATCACCTCTCCCTTGAGAAATCAATATTTAAATGACATGTATTTCTATATACCTTGAATATTCTCCTATATATCAGAAAGTCTTCTCTCTTGCTGATTGTCCTGTTTTGCTTCCAAACCAATAACCCATTTTACAAATGTAAGGAACAAGAAAAAAATATTGGAAAGAATAGTCCAGTCAGCTTGCAGACAACATTATAGCATTTTCTTTGTATAAAGTGGGATGCGGGTGGAAGAGTTTTGTTCTAAGAAATTTTATCCCATAATAAACTGTGTGAAGCTGAAAATAGTAGGCTTACATTAACAATCTGTGGCTATCAAGAGGATTGTTTGGGAGAATTATATATAATGTATCACAGACTCTAGTTATTATGTTTTAGCAGATTTAGGTTAGTTTCCTGTAATTTCTGTTTTCCATAAATGTCAACTTCAACTTTTCTGAAAATGTGTATATCTCAATTACAATGTGTTGTAGAATTAAATCAGGAGTGGATGACATATCATTCTACTTATTGGCAACTCGTATCAGTCTTAGCCAGTATGACTAAGACTAAGAACCAAGTTGTGACACATTCTGGCTTTACACACTGTTCTAAATCAAAACCAAGCCACATTGTGGCTGATTAAAAAAAATAAAAGTCTTAAGGCAATTTGTGGAACCAGCAACCATCTTCCCAATTTTATTTCTTTTGCACATATTCTTCCTTTAGGTTGAAAATAATGCTACCCACAGAAGACAGTGATTTAGTCAACTGTGATAGGGCATCAACAAATAGAACTTTTCCAGAAAGTAAGATGAATGGCTTTATTATTTTAGATCTTCTGTGGGCCTGTCTTTTTACTAGTTATATGGCCATTTTCTAGTTAAAGCTTAAACCAAAAAGGAATATTTTCTTGTGATTCAGAAAGTTCCACAGTTTTGTAGAAATTCATCTTTTTTTTAAAATGATCCAGGTCATATTTAGTTTGACAGTCGACCCCCTGTGACCATTCCTGGAAGAAATAAATAGAATCTGCAACAAATTGTTTCATTGTATTGGTAAGAAAGTTCAGCTAGTCACACAAGCCCTCTTCATTCAGTAGACTCCTCTATATGCTCAGCCTCTGCCCAATGATCCTTTTTTTATTTTTCTATCTCACACTCCATGTTGCATGCCTTAAGGGTCAGGCTTAAGTCTCAATAAGCTATTTTGTATTTTAAGAGGGAGGGGTCTTAGAATTCTTTTTAACAACAATCCAGTAAGTTCACTAAGGCTGTTACCTCTTGTTCCTTCCTGTCCTTTAGCTCCATCCAGCGTTTTAGTTTCCTGCTTGAGATGAATGATCTTGTGAAATTATTTGGTTGCTTGTTTGCTTAAGTGTTAATGATTGGATTTAGATTCCATGCTATAGATGAAAGAACAATCCTGGGCATGCAACATATAGTATTAAGTATAGACAGTGCAATCAAAATGATAGTACAGGTAGTCCTCAACTTACCACCACAGTAGAGTCCAAAATTTCAGTTGCTAAGCAGGACAGTTGTTAAATCAGTTTTGCCGCATGTTATGACCTTACTTGCCACACTTATTAAGTGAATAATTGCAGTTGTTAAATTAGTAACATGGTTGTTAAGTGAATCTGGTTTCCCCCTTGATTTGCTTGTCAGAAAGTCGCAAAAGATGGTCTCATGACCCCAGGAAACTGCAACCATCATAAATATGAGCCAGTTGCCATGTGTTTGCATTTTGATCATCTGACCACAGGAATGCTGCAACAGTCATAAATGGACATACGTCATTTTTTTCAATGCTGTTATAATTTCAAACAGTCACTAAAATGATTATAAATTGACTACCTGTAGCCAGATTCACACTATTTGCTGAGCTCAAACTGCAATGCTTATATATTATGTATTGTGTGCAATATAAATTGGTGCTATGTTGAAACTTAGCCATTTACCTTGCCTGGATCCACACAAAATGCTAAATCCACCTGTGACTTAGTTTGGGAATTGTTTTGAACAGTGTAGGTTTGTTTTGGGGCAGTAAATTCAGTTCCTGTGGTTTATAAACTGTGATGTATGGTTCAATTCCATCATTATTCAACAGACCATAGTTTACTGTTGGACATCATAGTTGAATGGTGACACCAGTCTTTATCATTTTATTGACTGAAATATCTATTTTGGGGTTTTAAAAAACTTTTAACTTGACTGACAAATATGAATGTTGAAGTATAGACAGATTAAAGAAGTTATTTGTTAACCCAGAGAGAAATTTATCCAGGATCAGTGTGTGTGTATGTGTGATTACATATAGTTTTTCCATTTCATCATTGTGTTTCTGTAGAATTCACTAGGTGGTTACAGTTATTCTTTCCATCTTTAATAT